AAGATTATTACCTTCCTAGTGTACAACAGACACAAATATATTTTTTTTGGTCTGATCCTCTTTTAATCACTATAAGCAACAAAGCCCATCTTTTCCTGTGATGGACTACAGCTCCTTTTACCACACTATTCTAGAAACACTTCAACAAGGTTAAGGGATATAAATCTGCTTGTGAGGCCTATGTCTCATTGTTTTACACACACACACACACCCCAAGAGAACTTTTAAGGCTCATGTGAGAAATGCTAAGCCTGAACCAAGTGTCCAGCCCACCTGTCAACCTTAGTGGCAGTGGATTCTCCACTCTAGTACTAACAGTCAAATCAGAACCTCCCCAGACCTTGCCAGAAAGTGCTGACTCCTCTCGCACTCAGCCCCGATCCAGTGGGAAGGAATAGGACCAATAAAAAGCCAGTCTTCCCACAGGCAAAGATTGAGAATGCAGTGGACTCTCCCTGGGATGCTGGAGTGGCATTATTTTGGTGCTCAGTCTTGCAGAGGTTGGCAATCCTGTCCTCAACAGCCAGATAAAAGCTGACAGCAGGAGCTAAGTGCTAAATCATCTCAATCTCAGACTCTTAGATCAGTCCTTATCAGGCAGCTTCTCCTCTGCCATTCAGCCAAGAGTTCCTCCCTCCCTAGCAGACCTACACCCAGGGGTGTGCAGGAGCCTACTGGTGTCAATGAGATTCAGCCTGTGGACCCGTCTTCCCAACTCACTTATGCCAGTCATGTTGGCAGTCTGAGATTAGTCATGGTGGGAGGCGCACATGATGGAAAAGACCAAAAAGCTTTCAATTCTGCGTTGTGTTGGGGAATCAGTTTACCAATGAGAACACAACTGCTGCACCCTGAATATTCCCATTTCTCGGAAGCCACCAAGCTGTCAGAGGAGCGAGGCCACAATGGTTCCTCACAGCTGCCACTTTGCAGGGCCATTCCCCATATAAATACACTCTTCCTCCAGTTAGCTAGTCAGAGGACACCACTCAGGTGATTTTGTTTCAGGATTAGATCTATTCTACAAGAGTGATCTCATTTGTGGCAGCTAGCAACCAGTGAAGAGAGAAAAAGGGTAAAATAAAAGCCCACACATGTAATCACTGGTATTACACCCATCTACCAAGGCACCCAGTCACAGTTTTTGTATCACAGATTAGGGACCCTATAATATAGGAATTCCTCTTCATTTCTGTTCAGTTCTTTAAAAATGTATTCGCAACCAACTATTCCCAACTTTGTAGTGATGTGAATCATAGCCCATTGTGTGGTAATTAATACAAAGACACAAACACACCTGGTCGTATATTTAGTTACAACAGGGTTATCAGAGTGATTTATTAGTGTGTACATGAAAGCAACTAATTGAGCTTCCCTGTGTGGCTTTTACCTAATTATTAAACTAAGCATCCATTCCAAGGTTATTTTTGAGGATCTCAAACCATGGGAATAAGTAAAACACATAAAATACAATATGTTCATTACAGTCATTCTTTGCCTTTAACGCTACCTACGCCTCTACAAAGGAGGCATGAGGCTTCACAGATGTTTAGTTACACCCACTCCAAATTAGCAGAACATTTGTGTGATCCTAGCCAAGTAAGGAAACAAAGGAAACCACATCAAAGTCTTCTCCAGCCCTTCATGTGCAGAAGGGATAATAGACTTTTTGTGAACTACAGAACATATAAAAGAGAATTCTTCCAGCCCAGCCTGTTTGACTTTGTGAGGAAATTTTAATGTGATGAAAGTGAATGTGTGTGATACCAGCCAAGAGCACCTCTTAGATTATTTATACACCTTGCAATAGACACTTTAAAATATGGAAATGTGGAAATTATTACCAGGGTTATGAAATAGGTTGGATTTCATATTCAACTGCGACAAGGAAAAAATCCAGCTGATATATCTCCAATTAAAGTGAATTGCTCAGTCTAGATAAGAGCGCTATATCAGATTTTGTGGTAATGACCTTGAACTAGTCATGTATTTGGTTTTAGCACTGGAAAGATTGAACCAGATACTTGGGGGAGCTGATCACATTTACTTCCAAGTTAGAGAGCGTTGAGCGTTTTATCCCCTCTCTTGGTTGATAGCCAGATGCTAACAAATTTATTTCCAAACAACTTCTTATGGTTAACATTTATTGAGCAAGTCCCCTAACTTTTGATATGACTTTTGTTATGTCATTTAATCATCACAACAACCTTGTGAAGTGGAGCAATCATCTCAACTTTATAGATGATACCATAAAAAAAGAAAAAAAATCTAGAATCCTCTCCAAGGTCAGACAGCTGAGAATTGACAAAGCAAGGCCTTGAGCCCTGAGCTTCATTTCTAGCTCTTTATTTTTTTAATAGCACCTATATTTGCCTGCCTTTATTCTCATTCATGTAACCTCAGTTCTCACAAAAAGAGGAAACTAAGGCCTAAAGAACTGAGTTGCTTGTCATGGAGCAAGTAGCCCCTGCTGCTCACCTTTTATGCATTGCAAGAAACAGATATATTAGGCGAGACAGTTTTATACCCGCTGCCACCTTCAGATCATCATAAGAAACAGGTGACTGACAGTATTTAGATTGAACTGATAACTGCCATGCTCTGCTCTGAGGCTATAGAGATTAGTAGCAAGATGTTGTTATGAATCTACTTTAAAGGATTGCGTGTGCTCTCTGCCATATGTTGCAATCTCCAAGCCACTAGACAATCCTTTAGAAACAGAGGAGGAAAATAAGGCCTCAGCACAGTTGGTTTATATTCTGTCTATCATTCTTTAGAAACATCCTTGAGGGGGGAAAAAATCTTCCAGAAATTACAGGGGGGGAAAAATTGCTTTAAATTCCATTCTTTACTTCCCCAACTGATTCTGTTAGACTGCAGTAGGTGGTCTGGCTAAGGCATTTTATCTAGAGTGCATGATACAAGAAGGGAGAGGCGGGCTGGGAAGGTGGCTCAGTGGTAGAGCACTTGCTGTGCATGCCTGAGGCCCTGGGTTCAATTCTTCAGCACCACATAAGCAAAAAGCTGGAAGTAGCACTGTGGCTCAAGTGGTAGAGCTCTAGCCTTGAGCCGAAGAGCTGAGGGACAGCGCCCAGGCCCAGAGTTCAGGCCCCACCACCGGACCCCCGCCCCTCCAAAAAAAGAAGGGAGAGGCTCAGATGCTCTGTAAGATAGGGTATTCTCATGGTAGAAGAGGGCAGAGACTAGTCTAAGAGACAAGATTTGTGTGTATATGAGAGGAGGGAGAGGGAAAGAGAACGAGAGTGTTGGGGATAGAATGCAAAGTCTCACACATATTAGGCAAGCCCTAGATCCTGGCTATGCACATCTGTTCTATTAGCTACTGCATTTATGCTCATAGTCGATGAGTGTGGCTTATAAACCACATGTCACATCACCTTTAAATGAATTAGCTGATTCGTAATGAAAAGCTAATGCTATACCCTGTCACTGTAGTAAATCTGTGTAGATCAGCAGACATGATCTGACAGCTCAGAGTTTAAATCTGACTTAAGAATGTGCAGGGATTTTTTCTTGGTTGACAATGGTGAGTTTCTATGGTGGTGGTTCTCATGATGCTTTTTAAGCATTTGCCAATATTTTTTTAAATCAAAAACTAAATGAATTACTCCTAATGCACAAAAAAACGGGGGAAGCCACATGTTTAATGGCAAGATTTCTTGATATACATTATATTCTTCATCTTGACCTGTCTTATAAGAAAGTAGTACCTTTTACATAGTGGTTTTTCTGAATGTTTGATGTTAATGTCCAAAATTAATTTTCCATGTTTCACTCATAGCAATAATGTTAATACATCAAATACTAAATAATTAACAATCATAATGACAAGAAATCTCTAGCAAACAACACCAACCAATTACCACTTAAGTACTTGCATATTATGTTTTCTGAACTATAAAACTGGAGTTATATGGGCTGGGAAGGTGGCTCAGTGGTAGAGTGCTTGCCTTGCATGCATGAGGCCCTGGGTTCGATTCCTTAGAACCACATAAGCAGAAAAAGCTAGAAGTGGTGCTGTGGCTCAAGTGGTAGAGCGCTGCCTTGAGCTGATGAGCCTTAAGGGACAGCTCCCAGGCCTAGAGTTCAGGCCCCATGACCGGCCAAAAAAAAATTGGAGTTATAATACCTATCTCAATGCAAAACACTTAGCTAAAAGTTGGCGACCAATAAGGGTTAAGTTCCTTCTCTTTCTTCTCTAGATCTGTTTAATTTTGTGATCTTGCTCAACTCATTATACCTCTTTGGTTTACTTCTTTCTCTGTAACATGCAAGCATTAATTAGATTATCATTTCCCTGGCAAATCTAAATTCATCTTTTATCCTTACATCTTCTCACTCTCTTTCAGAGAAGGGTCCTTCCCTACATAGCTATTCAGTATTTTAACATATTGTTTTATGTCTCTGTCTTGGTCTCACTGAGTCTCTAGGATACCATGGGCTGGTCTTTACCCAGGGTCTTGGCACAACTCCAGAGATTATTAGGAAATGAAATTAATTGTTGGACAGTATCCCAGAAATTATGCTTTGTGGTGGCCTCAATCATGCCCCAACTGATTCCTCCAGTGTAGTAAAGTTCACTGCACACACAGGGAAGAATAGTCTCTAGCTTTCTTTGGAGCCAATAAAAAGGAATCTGAGCCAAAAATAAAAAGAAAGAAGAAGAAAAGGTATCCAAGATTGGGAGTATCATAGTTAAAAGTCAAAGGAAAAACACCATATCAAAATAATGCATGATCGTATACAACTGTGATTCTGGTTATGCTGGTCATGTAAGCAGGAAAATTGTGGTCCAAGCCAACTCAGGAAAAAAATGCAAGGGCATGGGAGGCATGACTCACATGGTTGAGTGCTTACTTAGCCAGTGGAAGGTCCTGAGTTCAAATCTTATTGCTACCATCATTTTTTTTAAAAAAGGAATTTATAAACATAGGGTCATGTGGATCATTGCATTTATGGCCTGTCCTGTTTTGTCACAGACTTTACAAATGGGCATCAAACATTTCTCTGGACTTTTCGTGCTGCTATGTATTGGATTCGGCCTGTCCATCTTGACAACCATTGGTGAGCACATAGTGTACAGGCTGCTGCTACCACGAATCAAAAACAAATCCAAGCTGCAATACTGGCTACACACCAGTCAGGTGAGGGCTGCAGATCTCTTGCTATAGTGTTCTTTGTGTAAGAACTCCCAGTGGTGGGAGGATCCAGAGCCAAATGAAGGGAAACAGCATAACGCTCCCAATTAGAAAATAGAATTCTCTCTAAATTGGACTCATCTATTTTCCCCTAAAACGAATGGATCCCACAACATTCCTTCCAATTTTCCTGGAAAATTCCACTACTACTCATCATCAACGCAGGAGAACTGTCTGCAACCAGATTTCACTTAAGGGTGACAATAAGATGATTTTTTTGTCAAAACCAAAACCCATTAAAATGAGTGTGATCTACATTTACTCCATTTTCTTCGGTGTGTTCCTCTGATCTAGAGTTTTGAGGTCCACTAGTACCAAGGGCAAACTTCACAGGAAGCTTGGAGCCAGACATTAACACGTTTTACAGGGAGAGCTGAAACTGTGACCGATCGGCCAGGCACACCCTTAGGAGCCAAAACCACAGCTAAAAGGTGTTTTCATGCTATAGTTTAGCAAAGAGGACAGTTTCATCTACCATGTTGAGGCAGATGAGCAGTTTCCAGATCCCTACTGACGGGAGGGGGCCCTCAGCCTCCTGGTGTTCCATGGGACACCCCTCCCTCTCAACCATATGATGGCTACTTTCGCTGCCAGGTAACAAGGCAGTTAACTGCTTTGTTAAGGGGTACTCTTTTTCTTTTTCTAGATAAATTACTGTTGTTGATTTGATTATAGTTGAGCCTTGTGCTTCCTACTTTCTTACAGGGAAATATTTGGTCTCCTCGGAGAACTCTGCAGACAAGTGATCTCTTCTTTTGTATGCTGACATGTTCAATTTAAGACTCAGGAGACTTCTTTGTTTTGGTTGCAAAGAGGTTCTAACATATTTTTCAACTCATATTTTCAAGCAACTGTACAGCGTTTTTGCTCCACATGAGTTAGACATTTTGTCATATCACATGCAATTTTACAATCCAAATTATTTCCAAGCTTTCTATATCACTATTAGCCAGGTGTCGACAACAGTGGCTCCCGCATATGATCCTAACTACTCAGGAGACTTGAGATCTGAAGATCATAGTTTGAAGCCAGCCCAGAAAGGAAAGTCTATGAGATTCTTATTTCCAATTAACTACCAGGAAACCAGAAACGGATCTGTGGCTTAAAATGGTTCAACACCAGCCTTGAGAACAAAAGCTCAGGGAGAGCACCCAGGCCCCGAGTTCAAGCCTCATGACCAAATACATTTTCGTTTGGGGGAAGAATAGGAAGGAATAATTAGAATTCTTGTTGAGAGTTGAGGCTCAGTATTGATCTATTTTCAGGGATGTCTAAAAATTTGGTTGAAGAGAACAAAGTTTGTAGCAAGTAGATACTCCATTAAATCTCCAACAGTACTTTATCCCTTGACCTACACATTTCTAATGATCACTACCTGTGAATCTGTTCTTTCCACCAGAGATTGCATAGAGCACTAAACACATCATTTGTAGAGGAAAAGCAGCAGCGTTTCAAGACCAAACGTGTGGAAAAGAGGTAAGAAGAGGTTAATGATCACTGTTTTTGTACTAAGACAAAGTTTAGTATGAAACTGAGACTGATACTCAGAAACGAAGTTGTGTCTAAATATTTAGGCCTAAGTATGTAGGTATGTTTCAGGCCTATATTCCCTGTAACTTCCTCCAACCTACCACATATAACCTTTTACACACAATGTGTGTTTGGGGTCTCAAAGCTGTCTCTTTTAAATGGTATTGTGAAGTACTGAACTTCAGTTTTACAAAACTGTTCCCTACAAGCCAGATTTGCTTTTTTTGTTTGTTTTTAGTAATTCTCAATCACTAGTCATGTCACATTCTTAAGACTGAGGAAGGCTTACACAAAACACAACCTACACATTACAAAAGACTACAACACACTCATTCACACTATACAATTTGATGTTGCCCTATGTTGCACATTCCCACTGCTTGATTTGATAATGAATAATAAACAAATGAGTTTGAAGAAAGGCAAGGAGAAATTTTGGCCTCTGATATGGAGACAAATGTTGCTTCTTTTTTATTTAGTATGAAGGAAAAAATGTGGATATTGTATGGGACTACTTCATAGAAAAGCTGAGCTCTGGTGCTCTCTATTCAGTTTCACAAGGCATAAACTGACAACTATGTTAAAGAACTATAGCATGTTTGTTATGTTTTATTGGTCTGTTTTAGCTGGGCTTTGCTGTATGAGAAATCATCCCAATACTTAATACTTTCAACAGTGCATTGCTTACTAATCTAGAGGTTCACTGTGCAGATTGCTGATTTGAGCCAGACCTGACTGCTTTTAGCTAGGCTTATGTGTGCAGCCAGCTTGGGAAGAGTGAAGCAGCTAAAAGCTATCTGGTCTATGATTGACCTCCACTAGGGTCCACTAGGAAGGCTGAGAGTGTGTTCCAAAGGGTCCTTCACACTCCAGCAGGGTTAATGTGAACTTGCTCACATTGTAGCATGGTGGGGGAGGGGGGCAGGGCAGGGGAGGCAGCCAGGAGAGAAGCACTGTGCCAAACCTTAAAAGCTTAGGCTTGGCACTGCTGCCCTTTCTATGGGCCAAAACACATTATACCAACAGTCCTCATTCAAGGAGAGGTAAGCATCCATCATAATGCAACAGTCACAATGCTGAGAGGGCAAGGATAAAAGGAAGAACGAATATTAGGTCAGTTTGCATGTATCACCAGGCAAAGCAAAACAATTAATTTACGAAGCCCTGTGGTTGTTTGCTCTCAGCCATGTAACTGCCTCAAGACTTTCTTACCCTTGTGCTTTCTTATCCCTTTGTCCTTCTCCCTCCAGGGTCTCTCCTGGGCAAGTAAGAGTCCAGGAATAAAACCGATTCAGTTATACGGATGGGGCGAGGTGGGTGGGAGAGAATGTAAAGATTTAACTGGATGTTTCTGTTGTGTTTTGCCCTGTGGTAAATTGCAAGAGTAGTGAAAATCTTCCTGCTCCTCCTACTCTTGCTCCTCCTCATCCTCCTTTAATCCTCATTCTATACTAGTAGAGAAGTAATCAGCAGGTACACTGCTTCGGATTTTAATCCATTCTCATTTTATCCCTCTGTCAAAGCGTATGTGAGAAACAAGGTAGTCTCGCTTCTATACCTGTCTTAACAATAGCTTTCTATTGTTTAAGTGGCTTAAGTGTATAGTCAACTCTCCACAATGGTGGTAGATGGTACTGAGAGCCTAAAAGGATGGAAAAAGTTTCTATTTAACTTATATCATCCTAGCAAGAACCTAGGGGCTTCTTGGATTTGGTGTTTTATCTTCAGCATCAAATCTGGGTCATTCATTACCCACATAGTTTTATCCCTACAGTGAAAAAAATCACTCACTGAAACCTGTGGTTCAAATGCTTATAGTCTCCCTCATTCAAATACTGACTCCAAGAAGAGTGCAGTGGGATTTAAGATGAGGTATATAACAATGACTGTTTATATAGTAATGCTTAGAGCCCAATATTTGGGCCACATCTTTTCTGCCACAGGATGTATGAAGCCAGTGATGCTTTATTCTTGAACATTCTACCTTCAAAAAATGGAATAAAAAGGCATCTAAGGTTTTCCCCCAAAGAAATGTTATACCCCATTCTATCAGAGGATACCCAAGTTCATTTTTAGAACTACTTAGTAAGACCTTGAACTTGAGCTGTGAGTCCAGGGTTCCTAAAGTCCCCCTAGTGGTCTATGCATAGATTAAGTGACTTTATTTCTATGTGCATACCCAGCTTCGCATTGGTCAAGCAAGAAGGGCCCACAGATAAAGAGCAGCACTTGGAGAACTGCAGACTGGAAAGTGAATTTGAACTGTCTCTTGTTTCCTAGGTCCAACTTGGGACCCCGCCAGCTCATGGTGTGGAATACTTCCAACCTGAGTCACGACAACCAACGAAAATACATCTTTAGTGACGAGGGAGGACAAAACCAGCTGGGCATCCCAACCCACCAGGACATCCCTCTCCCTCCAAGGAGAAGAGAGCTCCCAGCCTCGCTGGCCACCAATGGGAGAGCAGACCCCCTCAACAAAGCTCGGAACTCAGTGATGCAGGAACTCTCAGAGCTAGAGAAGCAGATTCAGGTGATCCGCCAGGAGCTACATTTGGCTGTGAGCAGAAAAGCAGAGCTGGAGGAGTATCAAAGGACAAATAGGACTTGTGAGGCCTAGGCGGTCACACTGCTCTCCTTTCTCAGTTCCTGGCATCGCTGAGCCCTCGAGACACTTTGTAATGCTCTTTTGTAATGATTGACAGAGGTATGGAGAAGCTGACTGACATCTAGGTCTTCTAGAGGTCAGGTCTGCTCTCCCAGCCTAACACAGGGCAGCAGCTCTTCCCAAGGCTCACTGCGCCCTAGGTCTCCAGATTAGGGATCTTTCCATAGCAGGAATCTGAAGTTTTTTCAGGAGAAAATTCTGTGCAAGTAATCTGTGAACAACCAGATTATCCCAGCTCCGATGAACCATCTGGTGCCACAGTAATATTTCTGATTTTTAGCCCTTTCTCTGCACTTCAACAAAAGATATATATAAAAAGAAAAGAAGTTGTTACTCATATTCGTGTCTTACTGGGTTGGTTTTTAATCCTAATTTAGAACAAGATTATCCAGGGTTGTAGATTGGGTACAACTCCCCCATCTAGATTTTTTTTTTTTTTGGTCTATGTTCTGAACGGGAAGCAGGGTAAAAGCTAGAGAACTTGCACCAGAGGAGATACTTTAAAACTAACTAAACTCAGAATCACTGCAGATAAGGACTGATTGGGTCAGGCAAGAGTCATTTTCTTGAGAAGATTCTGGATTGCTGATACCATCATGATGAACATATTTAGAGGCTACTATGAAAGGGGACAGAAAGGTGGTGAGCAAGAACAGATGATAAAATAGGCATTCGAAATGCAGACTGAGCTTTAGAACAGAAAGACAATTTGGCTAAGGCATGAATTGGACAATACTTCTAATCATGTACCTTTTTATTAAAGAAACCAGAGAGAGGAGCTGGGAAGGTGGCTCAATGGTAGAGTGCTTGCCTTGCATGCATGAAGCCCTGGGTTCAACTCCTCACCACCACATAAGCAGAAAAAGCTGGAAGTGGTGCTATGGCTCAGGTGGTAGAGCACTAGCCTTGAGCTGAAGAGCTGAGGGACAGCACCCAGGCCCAGAGTTCAGGCCCCACGACCGACAAAAAAAAAAAAAAAGGAAAAGAAAGAAACTAGAGAGAAAGCCGCCTGTAATCCTAGCTACTCAGGAGGCTGAGATCTGAGGATCACAGTTTACAGCCAGCCTGGGTAGGAAAGTCCGTGAGATTCTTAACTCCAATAAAACCACTAGAAAACCAGAAGTGGCGCTGTGGCTCAAGCGGTAGAGCACTTGCCTTGAGCTGAAGAGCACAGGGACAGCTCCCAGGCCCAGAGTTCAAGCCCCACTACCGACAAAAAAGAAAGAAACCAGAGAGAGAAAAGTAGAGCAAGGCTGTAACTTCAGGATAAACCTGAATACATTGCTTAAGGTTCTAACAGAAGCTATGAGCTGGCACTAGCAAGTAAGAATATTCTGCACACTACATAGCAGGCCATTTCTTTCTTTTTGTCAGCAGTTACTTATCTCTGAGCCTGAGGAATGCCAAAAATGAACCTGAGGCCTGGGCTCATCACAAGCTTCACCACTGGCTAGCTGCCCAGTGCTTTGCATACCTGTATAGAAAATCACCAAGTTAATCTTCCATCCTCACACAAAGCTACTCATCTGAGGAAGGATGAACAGGTTTTAGTCTCTCTGATTATTCTTCAGGCCCCATCTAATAGCCTGAAAACTGACAGATGTAAGTAATCTAGTTTTCTCCTCTGCTTAGGCAATCCCTTCCCAGCAAACAACTATGAGGACTGTGGAAAGAATAAGAAAAGGGGAACTCAACAACTTCAGTTCCCAAAAATTAGCAAAGGGAAGAATCCCTAAGGGACTCATTCCTTGCTAACTGCCAGGATCCAACCAGAATGGGTGGTAAAACAAATTGGATGTGGGCTCAGCCACCTGTGTTAACCAACACCCCTAAGACATACGCAGAGACATAAAACAAGGCTCTTGCAGTTTGGCTGCCCCCCAGGTGTGGTGATAAGTGAGTCTTTCTCTTCAGCACCCACTGGCTGATTCCCTTTCCATATCCCCGTTCTGACTCCAGGTCACAAGATGGGATGAACTTTCCCTGTTTATCAAGTGCTGATTCATCTTCTTACTACTTGCTTCCCTACATGTCAGTATGAATGTCTATAGATTGTGCTGAGCTGTGTGCAATTATCAGAAAGGTTTCTTTCTTGATCACATCTCTCCTCCTGTTTTCTACATTTCCACCAAGACCTATCCAGATCCCCCACAGAAAGACAGCACCCTACAGCTCTCATTAGGTAATATCTCAGCAATTAATTTGCTGAGTAAACTCTGAAGTGCCGGGAAACTCAGAGATGCTGACTGGGGTAGCAAGTGGGCTCTAAAGTTAGACTTCATCAATCTTACAGCACAGATTACCAACCTCAGCGATGAGGGAACAAAAGAGCCCTAGAAATCAGAAAAGGGCAACTTGCTTTGAAATAATGCCACCCAACACAGACACAGACACAGACACAGACACACACACACACACACACACACACACACACACAAGGCATGCACCTGCCTTTGGAACATTATACTCCTTAGCCATTGCCACCCATTTGCAACTGAGGATGCCCTAGTACCTGCCACCATGCTCTGAGACCCCCTGGATGTCTGTGCTGATGTACAGGTGTACCTCAACTCGTGTAACAGCCATTCTCCTATCAGTGTACATGGACATTTTTGTAACTTGACTCACATTCTGACTGTACTTGAGAAGCTATTTAAGGAAACCTGAAAGTGAATTCTTTTGTAAAGAACCCTTTTGTAATGCAATTAATTATCCCTTAATGTATCTGTTTTGTAAGTTTGGATTTTTGTATATCAGGTTTACCTTAAGCTTCTCTATCTACTGAGGCATTCTGAGCAATGATGACCAACCTGCCTTTCCAGAGTAGCTGACATGCTTATTTTCTAAGAAACTGTCTGGCCAAAATTGTGGCCAGGATGCAACAAACAGCAGCAGAGGTTAAAGGCAGGCTTACTGATGCTCAACATTGCTTTAAATGCTTCTATTCGTGGGTAAAGAAAAATATAATTGCTTGTGGTGAAATGAAGCAATCTTCATGTTAAATAGCACCTTTTTTTTATTCCAAAATGGTAGTAGTTGAACAGTGTTTTGCAATTTGTGAAACAGTGTGCTGTGTTTTGTAAAAAGACTTCATGAAAGGGTATGTCCTTCAAAACCTTCTTTCTGCTCTGTTCCACCTCAGTCCTCTTTGCTATTCCCACCAGTTCAAAAGAACTCAGGTGGAAGCTTGAGAAAGAGTTTAGGATTCTCTCCCCTGCCTGATCTTGCAGGCTCCTATTTAATGAGACCAGAAAGGCCCCCATTCTCTTTCAAGCTCTGATTCAGAGAAACATAGAGCATGGCAAACTGTCTCTTACACTCCAAGCCCATATCCCAAGGGGGAATTCTTGGCTCACAGAAGAGATGACTGGGTAAACTACACCAAATAAAACTACTTGGTTCTTGTATAAAAGAATAACCAGGGCCCCACAATACATATGGCACAAGGTAAAAAAGATAGGGAAATTTCCAACAAATAAGAACAAGTTGGGAATATGACTCAGATAGCCAAGTAAGGCAGCCACAGGGACCCAATCAGTTGAGCTCTTTAATGTGCCTGGAAGTGACTCCCATTATTCATGAATCTTGCTATTGCACAAACTCTCCACTGGAGCTGCTGCTTCTATAACAGCCTGAGAATTGTTAAGTCAAGTAAGAGCCAAGCAGAACAGAGTGGTATTACCCAGTATTGGTACTGGGTCCATTACAGTCTTGGAGCAACTGAAGCAATTCCTTGGTGTGGACAAAGAACAAAAGGAAAAGAAAACAACTTTAGAAACTCTTTTCCTTCCAACTCACATTTTGATAGGCAAACCAGAAAATTCAAGTGGTCTTCAAAAGAAATTTCTTTTTTGGCATTAAAACCTCACTACCTGCACTGTTTAGTTAGTCCTTTCGTCCAATCTAGTGCTCCCTTACTCTTCCTTTTCGTTAATAATCCTTTTGTGCAAATGATGTACTTATAAGTATTTTCTTAAGGTTTGTGAAAAGTATTTGCATTGTGTCTTCAGTTCAATGTGTTTGCAGTCGCTCCGCTCCAAGAGCTGAAATGCTGTCTTGTGAGCATGAAGTGAACAGGCTGTTTTGTTCCAGCCATTTTTCTTGTACAACCCCGTGGATGGGACTAGATGTCCTCAGATCTTTTCCATCTTCAGTTTCTATGACTGTGGAATAAATGTTCAGATAGAAACTTTACTCTCAGATGTACTGCCGGAATTCTTTGGAGATTCAAATGTTGACACAGTACCAGCTCCTACTTCACAGGCGACCCATCAGTGCTGTGACTGATGCTTATTTTTTTGTATACAGTACAAGGAAGCAGCCAAAGATATGCTGAGAAAACTCGGAACCCGACATCATAAAGTAGAAGAAAATGATTTTATCTGTGAGATACATTCTAGGAAAAAAAAAATGTATTCTTCACAGACGTCTAAAAACTCTGACCCAACCATGCAAATGTAATAACATTTGCTAACTAGTTTCCATTTACATGCCAAGTGTTAAGAGACACAATAGTTCAAAAAAAAAAAAAAAAAGCCAGCAGGGTCTCTAACCTCAGAAACCTTCTCATAACCTGATCTTTTCCCACCCTTCCTTTCTTCCACAATGCCCCTTTAGCCTTTCTGCCCTGCTACCTCCCAAGGACTCCTCCTTTCCATGGAGCAGAGAGGGAAGCTGATAACCACACCTGCACTGGTCCATTTAACTCAAGACTGCAACCACTTAAGTCTCACACAAATAGTGTTTCAGCATCCATTCTTTCTGCCAAAGCAAGAATTGGTATAAATACAGCTGCCAATCAGGCAAGTTTCGACTCCTAGCAAACTTGCCTTCATGAATCTGTTACCCTGACACATTCTTCACACACCTCTGTGACATATCAAGTCAAATCTCAAAAAATATGAACACACCAACTCAACTGCCAACCTACCCAATGTTTTTGTACCATTTAGTCTTTCATTTTGGGGGGAGGAGAGGGTAGAAGAGGTACCTACTGTAAGCCAGCAATGAGATTAATTGCTGGAGGAAAATAGAAACACATTTTTTAATTTCATAGACCTATGGGTCTCAGTCTACTTGGGGGACTAGGTGCTAGGTAGCCTGATAAAGCTGTGCACATCAAGAACTAAGGTAGCAAAGACGTGTGTATGAGCCACATTGGTAGTTATATGGGTAATATGAGTGGGCTAGAGACAATGGTGAAAGTAACAGGCATCTCAAGAAAAGAAACAGCATGTGGAAAATTTCAAAGCTGGGAAACCAGGAGAAACACAGAAATAGGAATTTCAAATACTTCAGAAACACAGACTTCACATGAAGAGGTGACAAGTTATAAGGAATACAAAAGCACAGGCAAGATCACCAGATTAAGTTAGATTTGTGTTCTAAGGCTATGGGAACCTTACGTTTTTGAAGAATATACTCAAAGGCAGAATTTTTACCACTGGACGGGGCTGGCTACTACTCATGCATTTTTGTCTAGGGCACTGAGCATAAAAAGTTAACTGATATTGTGCAATGACTTGGCCATATTTAACCAGGACAGGCAAGGTAAGAATAGTCAGAAGAAAAAAAAACCCACTGGGGCATAATTTCAGGAGAGATGTGTTACTTTTTTTCTCTGGAAGTATGAAGTGGACTGAAAGAAAAGAAGCTTTCCATTCCTTTACTTACAGCAATAAAAGCACTTTATTGAGCACTTACTAAATGCCAAGCAATGGACCGAATATCTCCTAAATACTGATACACTTCATTCTCCAGTACAGCAACAATGTAGTTATTTCATAGATAAGGAAATCAAAGCACAGAGAACTGAAAAAACCTGGTAATAGGTGGCAAAGACATACCCAGGCAAGTCTCAACCGGATAAGAAATACATTTCCAACAATGCATATCACAATAAGCACTCAACAAATGGGAGAGCAGGGGAAAATCTAAAGACCACTTTGGACCACTTCTACGCTGTAATGGACACTAGTAGAAGACTCAGTGAACATGGAAATAAAAGGCAGTCCTAACCATTCTACTTAGAGTAGAACACTCAAGGAGACATAACCTAGGTTTGTGTTAAGTCTTCAGAAAGACTACAAATTTACTCAGAAAATATGTTCACTTGTTTCCTCCCTGATGACAAAACTCTACAGAGTATGTGGCAGAGGTCTCCATTTAGATAAAAAAAGAAAAGCAAATCTGATTATCTCATTTCAAAACTGACTGTGACCATATTTCCACATTTCCAAAATAAAAACAAGGCCTGAGATCCCTTTAAGCTCTCATGTCTTAACTCTTGAGCTTTTTGTTTCTGTTTGCTTTTTGGAGACATGGTCTTAACACATATCCAAGGCTAGTCTAGATACTACATAGGCAAGGCAAGTCTCAAACTTGTGCTCCTACTGCCTCAACATCCTAAGTGCTGAGATTTCAGTCATGTACTACATCAGACCTTATGAGTCCATTCCACTCATGTATTTCAAAAACTTGGAATGCTCTGATTGTATCATTATAATAGTAGCACAACTATACTATAGTCCTAATTCTACCTATATCTTCCCTCAATAAAAGGTTAACCTATGATGAGGAGATTCTTCTGCCATGTGCTGCCTGTACAGAGCTGTTAATTTCAGAATAAATGAACAAAAAAATCCAGTCAAAAGCTGAGTGCTACTGTCTTACAGTTGTAATCCTAGCTACTCAGAAGCTGAGTGCTGAAGATTAAGTTTCGTCAGCCCAGGCAGGAAAGTTCATGCGACTCCTATTTCCAATTATCTAGCAAAAACTTAGATTCAAGCAATAGAGTGCCAACCTTAAGCAAAGCAGCTAAGGAACAGTGCTTAGGTCTTGAATTCAAGCCCCAGTATGTACTACACACACACACACACACACACACAATCTTATGATAACCCAAATTTAAATGTTACTTCAATATATGAAGAAAAGTGGTTTTAATTCACCAGGTATAGAAGAGAGGAGTAAGGTTTGAATTCTTACAGAACACTTCTGAAAATCTGGCAGAAGCACAGAGCTGAATGAACTTAGTCATGAAAACATACTGAGGTGGATGTGCTCTTCAAGACATGAAGGGTTACACTGTTAAAACATTGTCCTTTCTAAAACCTAATCTTAATATCTGTGACAGATATTGCAAATAAGACCTTAAGAGCTAATGCTAGGAAGCAACCACACTTGGGCAGAAATCCCCAGAAGTTGAGTTCCATTTTACTTTGTGGTAGGATAATTAAGTGTTCCAAAGTTTAAGATCTAGAAAAATTTCAAGTATTTTCATGTTAAGCATTTCCCATGTATAAGTCCAATCCAATACACACACAACACACCAGTTCTGAACTTAGACTATACTTTGCTCTTACATAGGAAGACATTAATGATAGCAACTAGTCAAATTATTTCTGCAGATCCACTGGCAATTAGATTTATCAATCAACTGATAGTCCTAAGAAAAAACCCTTAAGGGACAAAATTTGTAGGCCTCCCATACCAACAAAGGACACAGCATTTCACTTCTTGCATCAATAACCACCACCATTCCAGCAGATCTAGATGATCATCTCTTTATTATCTTTACAGCATCAAATCATATCTACCCCTCCTCATTATTTTCTAAGCACAGCATTCTTGTCCTTGAAAAACAAGAATGCTTGTGGAAATAAACATAAAATAAGAAAATCAATCCAATGGAAAGTCACGAAGAATACTATATGTAGCAGAAATAGCAGAAATGTAATTAAGATAAATGCCTTCAAATATGCCTGATTTGGGTCAAAACCATTACCAGATTTTCAAAGGAACAATAAAAGCAAAGGCAGACACAGAGAGAGAGGGGGAGAAGGAGTTTCTATAAGATCTAAAATGTGTTTTACTTTAATTGAGTAGCCTTCCAGTATTTACCCTTTAAAATTTCTATGAATCTAGAGCTATGATTCAAACCATTGAGTCTCCAAATTCTTTTAAGGGTCTGAGAAAAAAATATAAATAATATTCATATGACAAAATTTGATATGCAATTTGGGGGCATTCCTGAAGCCCATTCACTGACCTTTTTGGTAGGGAACATGGACTATTCAAATAATTACCACCATTTTTGGACGTCATCTGCAAATGATTTTGAGAGCTCACCTTATGTTGCCTGATTCCTTACATCCTCAGAGAAGCTTGTCCTAAAACCCATTTCCCATGGGATTAGTGCTTTCCCCACAACAATCAATGAGCCACACGGTCCCCTGGCACCGGACAGCTGGCTTTCTTAGACAATTGTCATTAACAGCTAATGTCACAAAACATCTGTTCCCCAAATATTCTTAACAATTATGCTCACACTTGCCTTCATGAGAGTGAACAGCAAGGGGACAAGGCCCTATTATTGAATGCAAATGCATTGTAATAGGAACAAGGCCTAATCCCACCACTGTTGGGCAGAATGATCCATAGAACTTGACCTCTCTTGATGACCTCGCACAATCCCCAAACAGATTCCTTTCTTAAAGGGTATCACATGATCTTATAGAATTCATCTTGAATCTGCTGATTATAGCTGGGGATAGCAAAATGACATGGAATTTGCTGTTAACCATTACCTGGGACAAATACTAATCAAGAAGGATCCAATTTATATAATACCTACCAAAAAGAGATAACCTCCGGTGTGCTAGTTACTGTAAAACTAATTCAAGAACTGTCAACTCAAAGCACCAAGCAATGTTATATTCCCTGAGAAACAAATTACCATTCCTACCTCATGGTGAACTACGGAAGAGAACTGAGCAGTCAAATCAACTGATATCTTTTACACATAGTATCTCCTCAGCACAGACTCAATAAAACTGAAAGAAAACTTCAAGTAATGAAAATACTAAATTTAAATAATACAACCAGCTTCATAATCTTTGATTCGAGAATTCATTAACAGCATGTGTAAAATTAACTGTCTCAAAAAAATAAACCACAAACAAAAGCAAACTGAATCCTGCTTTAATTGACACTTATGGAGTATAAAGTCTTACTGAAATATTAAGAGAATCTTTTGGAAAACAGGGATCTTAATAACCCTTGTGGAGAAGAGAATGACAAAGTCAGAGCTCACCAAGGCCTTTCTGTTTCAAATTCTCAGAGTATTCCAGGCATATTCAGTGTATATCTCATTTTTTTCCAATTCTGATTTCATTAAAAGACAACGGGGGCTTTATTATTTTAAATTATCTCAGCCTCAAGAAATTTAAAGACTAAGTAGCTGAATATTTAAAACTTAAATAACTTTAACAAAACAGCCATTTGACTGTAAAAGCTACTTTGCTAGTAAACAGGAAATAAGTTGAACTCTCCTGGATATAACTTCATTAAGGCTTCAAACCATCCAGGAAAGAGTAGCACAATTATGTCATATTATAATCTAAGTTTAGAAAAAGTATACTATCCAAATTAATAAAAGTCTGGGCCCATAGATAGCTTATTTCCAAAAGGTCCTTCCCCCAAAAGACCATGTTTCCACTCTTTGTTCCCTTTTCCATGTCAAAAATACCAACATTTCTTCTTCAGGAAGAATGGACAATCCAAGATTGTAGAAGGGGCCTAAAGAAGAAAATGCTGAAAGATCCTAAAGCAGAAAAAAAAAAAAAATAGCTGGTAGGGAAGACAAGTATGAGTTGTTTCTAATTCATTCTAAAACTCAAGACTTACATTTACCAGTCTTTTTCCCTAAAGTCATCTAGCTATTGGAGAGAAGAGCATGGACATAAAGTCTGTGGAGGAAAAGGAATTGACAAACTGCCAAGGAGAGAAGAGGTAGAGGTTTGGTGGTTAATGAACAAGTGCTTGTCCAGACAGTTTCTCTTCTTAATGCAATCAACCAATGTAGATGCGATGGAAATCATTGGCACCAAAAGCTGCATTACACTTGGGACATTTGCGCTGGCGAGTGTCATAGCGCGTCTTCACACACTCAAAGCAGAAAACATGAAAACACTTGGTAAGTACAGCATCCTTTTTACGCATATTGCAGCACGGGCAGGTCAGACGGGCCTAAAACAGGAAGAAGCAACCATAAAGGTTATAGGCCAAATGGACAGCTCATGAAAACCAACAAAACCACAAGCGCTAGGAAAAGAGTATCATTTCCACCCACTAAAATAAACCATTCTCTGGCTACTTTTAGATAGAGTTCAATGTTTACTCTCCCAGTCTGTCAGTAGACAATTTCAGGCCTAACAAGCAACACAAAGAAAGCAATAAGACAGGCTTTCTGACCTTGTAATCCTTAATCTCCTCCATTAGAATCTCATCACATTTGGGTACGTTGTCTGGCTTCTTTGTGGTTTCCAGCTTCCTTCGAAGTCTAGAGATGTCCTCCTATGGCAGCATAGCAGACCTGTTAGACATCCTCCCCCAGACCTGCCATTTGAGAAATCATCCCTCTAACTTGGAGTCTCTCATGGAAAGACCCTTCTGTCCTTCATGTCCAATTATCTTTAGGAACATAGAGAATTGCAAATGACAGGATGTTTTCAGAACAGGCAATCATGATCATATCCTCAAATCAGAAGTATAGCAGTTAATTCAGTCTTGTGAATATAGGGGACAGGCCACTTCATCCTGTGGTGACTAGTTTTAAGGTCACTGGGATTAAAATAATGTACTGATTTATGGACAGGGTTAGAAAGGCATCGTGATAGGACAAAAAGGGCCTTTTAGGAGTTACTTGAAACCTAATGTTGTTATGTTGCTAATTTAATGTCAAAAATACTAATTTAATGTCAAAAAATATTTATGTAATGCCAACTAGGCAGCAGGCACCATGACAGGCTATGGGGATGTGGCACTGAAGAGAACTTGGCCTCTTGCCACCAGGAATATCCAGTCCAGTAGTTTATAACATGCATTACTGATCACCAGGGTCACTTTAGACTGCTGGTGAAACGTAAAACAAGACAATTGCTCTCACCTGGGCTCGTTTGAAATTGAACATATCCTTCTCTTTGGTGACACTATTCTCTACAATCTCATCCTGAAAATCATGAAGCTTCTTCTGAGCCAACTCTAATTGTGCTTTCAAATCATCAGCAAGCTGGGCTGCTTCCATTGCCTACATGGGATGTACAAATAACGTCATCCATCACCCTTTCATCAACAACAAAAATGTTAACCTAAGTTCAAGGAATAATGTGAACTTCAAAATTTCATTCGTGTTATCGTTTTTTGCTTTGTGACTCCTTTGAGACTAATCAACATTTTAGATTACTGAGTAATCCATCATACCTTGCGCTTGTTCATCTCCAAGGCTTGGGTCCTAAGACCCAGCTCCTTCTCCCCTGTGCCGATGTTGCTCTGCAGCAGGTGCTCTTTCTCTTCCAACTTTCTTACTACCTGTAACTGCGCATCCACCTTTGTAGGAAGAAATCAGATTTTAAAACAAATAGGAAGACAAAATAAAATTGGCTATGTTTTGTTAATTCACACACACATATACACACACACAAATATACAATGCTAGAAAATCTCAACAATTATTACTGATTTTATCCATAAACCCTTCAAAATACTGCAAGACTGATTATTAAAGGCTTTGCTTATCACATAAACTATTGATAGGGATTTAAAGAGTCTGGGAAACCACTGAGAAGATTCTTTTCCAAATTTGCCAGGAACAGAGGAGATTACACATACAGATATTTATCTTCTACAGCTGTGCTAACCCTCACACTCTGGCAACTCCTTCTAAGGCATGCAAATTCTGGCTCAAAGTCCAAGTGTTTCTCTTTCAGAATGGCTAGAGGAACAAGTGGTCTTTTCCTTAAAAATGAATGCACAAAGTTAATATTAAATGGTAAAACATGGAAAGCACACACCTTCTAACCCCTCACCTAAGATTCTCATCCCAACATCCAAAGGCAACCAGGTAGCTGCTTTTAGTTTCCCTGCAGCTTTCCAGAAATTTTAAGAATGAACTCCCTTCACACACACTCATCACACTCATTTTAATGCAAGAGGAATAATAAATCATTTGATATATTTTAGACATTTTTGGGGGGGGAGGGGGTCCGGTTGTGGGGCCTGAACTCTGGGTCTGGGCGCTGTCCCTCAGCTCTTCAGCTCAAGGCTAGCACTCTACCACTTGAGCCACAGCGCCACTTCCAGCTTCTTTTATTTTTGCTAACGTGGTGCCGGGGAATCAAACCCAAGGCCTCAGGCATGCAAGGCAAGCGCTCTACCACTGAGCCACCTTCTCAGCCCTAGACATTTTTTTTCTACAACAGCAAATCTATTTTTTTTTCCCCAGACTTGAGGCTTGAATTCTGGGCCTGGGGGCTGGCAGTCCCTGAGCTCATTTTGTTCAAGGCTAGTACTCTACTACTTGAGTCACAGTGTCCCTTCTGGCTTTTTCTGTGATTTAATTGGAAATAAAAGTCTCACATACTTTCCTGCACAGGCTAGCTTTGAACTAGCCTCCCCAGTAGCTAGGATTACAAGCGTGAACCATAGATACCTGACTCCAAATGTGCTTTTAACAACTACATGGTATTCCTTTGCAAAAATGAGTAATCATTTACTAGAATCCTGATAATAGATATTTAGTTGCAGGGGCTTTTTTCCTATCACACACAAAAAAGAAAAAAAGCCACAATGATTACCCTGGCAGTTATCTTAATGTAGAGAACACTCTATTCCAAAAGACTTGCAAAGCTCTACTCATGATAATTACCTGAGTCTTTAGAGTTAAAACCTGGTCTGCAAGCTCCTCCTTCTCTTCTTTAAGCAACTTATGGATCTGATTGGATTTGATTCGTTCTGACATGAGCTTGAAATTGGCATCATCCTTCTCCCGCAACTGCTGCATCAGGCGAATATTTTGCTCCTGCATGTCTTCAAAAGCCTGGCCAGTGACATCCATCTCGGAGAGGAGAGCTTCTTCCTCCTAAAATGAGGAATTCTATTAGCAGAATCTTTTAACTCCAAAGAATGAGCATAGGAAACTAAACCATTCCATTGCTCATTTAGTAAATTAATTCAAGGATTAACAAAAACTAGTTCAAGCATTGGGTCACTGGGTTCTCTGAGAATATAGAAGTCCTACTACCTGACATCAGCTGTTCTGATAATCCTCAGCTGATCTGTACTTTTAACATAGCAATCTGATCAGTAGCAGTTGGTTAACAGTATTTCTAGCATAATGTCTCACATTTTCTCATATTTATCCACAATTATACTGAAGTTAACTTAAGCTTTCCAGAAGTTGCAAATATCATAAGTTTCCTAACAATCTAGCAAATGGTATCTAATAATAGCTTTAATTACATTTATCACATTACAAGTAAGATGCATTATCTATATATTCAAGAATGATCTGAGTTATTTTCTGTGAACTTTCCATATATTTATCTACATTTTTACTGGATTTGGGGCTTATCCATTTCCAGTTTAGTTTAAATTTACTAGAAATATAAACCCATAATAAAAGTAATTTTTTCCTTTTTATCATGTAATCTGTCAGTTTTGCAGTTATTTTTGCTGTGTAGAAGCTATCTTCTTTTTTTAAAAAAGCAACTTAAAATCCATCTTCCTTTTATACTTTACTTTTATTAATAGAAAGGTCTTTTCCAGTTCAGATTTTGAACTCAGGCCTTAAGCTTACTGGGCAAGTACTTTACTTCTGAGCCATACCTCTAGGCCTTTTTTGGTGCTGCTTATTTTGCAAATAGGGCTTTTGTCTCTCCTTGGCATATATCTGGGCCGAGATCTCCTATTTTAGGTTTCCCATTATAGCTAGGATAACAGGTGTGCTGCGCTACCACGCCCAGCTCTCCATTTGAGAAGGAGTCTTTTTGTGCCCCAGTTGGCCAGTCTAGAACCATGATCCCCAATCCTCACCTTCCAAGCTGCTAGTATTACAAGCATGAGGCATTGACACCCAGTGGACTTCTCTTTTTAGCATCATGCCTCTGATCATTTGGAAATCATTCTGGTATAATGTTCAAGTGTGTATCCTACTTCTGCTCCCCTTTTTAAAATTTGTCCCATCACATTCAGCAGTCTTGTTTCACCACTGCTTTAAAAATCACATCCTTAATGAATATCAAACACCGATTGTATTTGAGGCTATTTCCAGTTGTTTGACTCAGTACTAATAGTCTGCCCAATAGTCTCAAGCTTTTTCATCTACTGGAATTTTGTTTTAATGTCTACAGAAGATCCCACTGCTGTTCTTTTCTAGTGATTCTTTATCACTCTTGTTTACTTTACCTTATGTATTTTAACATTAGTTTGTTTACAATCAAAAAACAAATAGTACTTTTATTGGAGGAATCATAGTAAATTTACATATACATTTTGAAGCTACTGATTAAAAGCCAGGCATGATGGTGCACGCCTGTAAGTCCAATACAACCAGTCTGAGCTAAATAGTAAGACACTTGTCTTTTTTTAAAAAAGTGAAAAAAGTCCTTTATAAGTTATCATGAGTCTTTCTGTGTACTCACTCCTTCAAAGACCTATGACAGTACAACTTCCAAACAAATATTTTAAGAATGAAAGAAAAGTAGCAAATCACCATATTTAAGAAAAAATTAAACCAGGCACTGGTGGCTTGTGCCTATAATCCTAGTAACCCAAAAAGCAGACATTGGAAGGATTACAATTCTATTGAGAGGATTACATTTTTTTGTCTGAAGCTTGGGCAAAAAGTACATGAGATCTCATTTCAACCAATAGCTGGACACAGTGCCTATTACTTCAGATACAGTAGGAAACATAAATAGGATAACCACAATCAAGGCTGGCTAGGCAAAAGTGATATCCTACCTCAAAAATAAGCAGAGAAAAAATGACTGGAGGTATGGTTCAAAGGTAAAGTGCTGCCTACCAAGCATGAAGTCCTAAGTACCTGAAGTCCCCAGTTCCAAAAAAAAAAAAAAAATTGAACAGCTAAAATTCTCCTTTTAACTCTAGGGATGTACAGATGATCTAATCAAAGTTCTCTCTTTCAAAATAAATAATGACAGTTACCCTTAAAGTTGCTTCCTGAGAAACAGTGAAGTGTTCCTAACATTGAACAAGTATGGACAGTTCTAACCATTCCTGCTATCTTTACGTTTTTTATTTAGTTTTATTTATTTTGAGACGGATCCTGCTATGTAGATCAGTCTGGCCTCAAACTTATGATCCTCCCACCTATGTTTCCCAAGTGAAGGGATTGCAATATCTGTCAGGAAAATTCACTGGGACTAGAAACTAAAGACATATTCATTATAAGAAGGAAAACAGTCTCTGCAGTTTTATGATCCAGTACTATTTATAACTTATGTGAGAAGCAGTATTTGTATAAAATCCTTTATCTTTTTCTTATGAGTTGTATGCTAGCAGAGAAAGAACAGATTCTCAATAAGCAATGTCTGAACAACTGGCTATCCAAATATATAAACAATGGAAAGGTCTAAGATTTTAATTTAAAAAGAAAAGTGGGAGTCTAGGGGAGGAGCAAACTTAACTGTCACTTCCATACTTGTTATGTAACATTTAGTTAAAGAGACAAAGTCTGCCCACCTGCTTGGCCATGGCCAGCTTCTTCTGCAGGTATTCTATCTGCTCCTCCACAGCCCGGATCTTCCTCAAGGCATCTTCATCAGCCATTTTCTTATTCTCTTTCTTTTCCTTATCCTCAAGTTCCTTCAGTCTTTGCCTTAGATCCTCCAACTATTGGTGGAAAAGAATCACATTAGAATAAAAATTACAATAAATTTTCAAAAATCAATTAATATGAGCCTGGCTCCTGTGGCACATAAACCTATAATCCTAGCTATTCAGGATGTTGTCATCTGAGGATCAAGGTTCAAAGCCAGCCTGAGCAGAAAATCCATGAGACTCTCATCTCCAATTAACCAATAAAAAGCACAAAGTGGAGATATGGCTCAACAGGTACAGTGCCAGCCAACAGCAGAAAAGCTGAGCAGAAAGTCCCAGCACCAGCACGCACATATGCACGCATGCACACACACAAATCAATACTGTGCAGAGAGGAAGAGAGGACCTTAAGCTCAAAATAATATTTACAGAAATTATGGATCAAGCTAAATATTACAATAATTACAGATGATACAGTACACATTTCAACACTGTTTTTAACATCACTCTATTCCTAGTTCTCATGCTTCTATAATCAAAGTTCTGTACCTATTCCCTTTTCTTTAGAATAGGTTTCAGCTTTTCTTGCCCTCAGAAAAGTTGAAAGTTTTTAAGTGTAAAACATTCCTCCTAAAAAGCATCAGAGAACGAGAACCACTATAGCAATGATTTATGACTAAAAAGTTTTTAAAATCCTATACTCAGTAATTTTGATGCTTTAGTACTTTGTGGAGAATCTTAACATTTATACATAGCCTTCAAGAAGGATAGAAAATGTTACTAGATGTTAACACTTATTTTAAAGGACTGTATCTTTGAGCAGTATGCAGTTAAACCTCACAAGGTTTAACCTCACAAGTAACGGCAGACTAGACAGATTACCTCTGCCTTAGACTTCTTTTCAGCTGCCATCAGCTGCACTTTGTCTCTCTGCTCCTTTGGTGCCGAGCGGTACATATCTAGCAGTAGTTTCATCTCCTTCTGGCTCTCTTGTGCCTTCCTATGAATGAGTAGCAGAGAGAGGAAGTGTGAAATGAGAAAACAAAAGGCATCAAACAAGGGAAACTGTTCACTGCACAGACTATTTTAAATTTTTTAAAAATATTCTGTTATAAAGATAAAATTCTTCACCGTCAATAGACTTCTCAAATGTATTTGGAGATTACAGAAAAGTAAGCTAAGTGAAATCATCTCTAACAGTGTATTATTACACAGGTATATTTCTACAGTCCTACTCATAGAAAATGAGATTTAGTAGGTATACAGAGAAATATTTAAACAATGCCAATGATTCTGATTCCACACCTCAATTTCTCAAAGAGATCAAGAAGGACAAAGAGAGGTGGATTTGAAAGTTTACAATACACTGCTAATCCTAGACCTGACAGCTGAATAACTCATGATCAGCTGAAGAGTAATGCTTCACCTGCTACTACATTATTAAACCTCTTAAAACATTTGAGCTCAAATATTTTAGCCAGTGTTCTCTTATAAATCCAAACATCAAGAATCAACTATGAAAAATGGGGAGTCAAAGTAACCAGTATTATTAGAGAAATCATTGTTCTAAAAAGAAAGGCAACGCATGAGGTAACAACAAAGGTATTTGTTTGAATTTCTACAGGACTAATGCTCCTGAGTAATCTTAATATGATCTGGCATACTTACAAACTAGTCAACTGTCAAGCGATTGGATCAGATCCTGTTCAAGTTACACTGACACACACTCCACTTAGTATACTTTAACATATAACTAATACCAGCAATTTGCCCAGATCCAATAAAGGACAGTAGTTAATTTCCCATGATTTTCAGTAAATACAATGTACCTTCTGTTAATTTGAATTCCCAGAGAATAAGGGCACAGACATGAACTTTTTGAAAACTACTCAACTAGACAACATACATGAAGGCTAACCATTTGGCTAAGTTTTGACTAAATATCTGATCGGGTAGAAACTACATTAATCGTACATTTATACAATTGATATTGAACTATTATAATGATCAGATGAGCCAGCCCACCAACTATTTTATTTCATTCATGATGCCTAAATTTTAAGTTTCAAGTCAGAAACAATCACTCAAAACAATGCTCTTACTTGAGTTCAATCTTCAGTTGTTTGATAATTTCTGCTTCCTTTTTCCTGATATCATCATGTTTCCCTTTCTCTTTATCCTTAGCAGAATCTCTCTCTTTTTCTGACTCTTTTAGTTTCTGCTTCTCTCGTTCTCTTTCCTTTTCCTTCTCTCGTTCTCTTTCTCTCTCCCTTTCTTTCTCCCGCCTTTCTCGTTCCCGCTCCTCTTCATCCCGTTTGGACTTAATTTCACTGACATCTTCCTGAGATGCCTTCAGTGTTGATGACTGGCTGGACACATCCTCAGAGTCTTGTTTCAGCTCTGTAGGTTCATCCTTAGGGTCCTCAGTACTAGACTGAGACTGCAGAAGGGCACTGCCACTGCGCAGACGTGTCTAGGAGAAAGAAAGAAGGAAAGATGGATATCACTTTGGAGAACTGCACTGCTTCCCTCACTTAAAAACAGTTTCACAGACTTAAAAACAAATGATGCTTGTTCTACTGCTCCTGATTACCTTGTTTAGGTCTGACTGAGCTTCTCTCAGTTTTCGCTTATACCTTAGGACTTCCCCTTTCAGCTGGTGATTGTGATTCTGGAGGCTACTGATGAGGTGGCGCATCTCCCGATTTATAGGACCTTAAATACAGCAATAGAAATGTTAAAAAGGAACAGGGCAAAGACAAAAAGAGAGAAGGTACAAAACACATGAGGAACTTTGGAAAATCAGGGGGAGTTACCAGAAGAAATATTCTTCTCAGAAGATGAGCATTTAAAAGTGGTCAACTTGATCTAAAAAACAAACACCTGGGCTGTGGGCCAAAATGAATTACAAGACTCTATTTATGGGACTTTGAGCCTTATGATAAGTCCTGGGAATCATGTTGCACCATGGAGGGAAAGCATTTACAGCAAACTGCAGGGTGGATGAGGATAATTATACCTGCTTGTTCATTGGCAGCAAGAGTCTGCTCAAATTCTATCCTCAGCATTTCATACTCTTTGCGCACCTGAGCCAACGTATCTTCTAGCTGGATCACTTCAGTTCTCAGCTTCTTATGAAGACTAACCTCATCTCGCTACAAAGAGAAAGGGGAACCCATAAAATATTCTTGTCAAAATGCAGAAATATCATCATATTCTATCTGAAATACAAGAACACACAGGGACACACAGATACATGCATGCCAACAACAACAACAGAATCAAAGTAAAGCTATTACCTCAATGAGCTCAACCTGGCGCTGGTGGGTTCCCCGTGTGCCATGAAGTAGGGTCCGAGCCTCATCCAGGTGTGCTTTCAACTGAAGACTCTCATTGTACAGAACAGAAAACTGTGATTGCATGCAGCGGTACTCTGGAGTTTCTTTAACCACTTCTTCCACTGCACTCCGTAATTCCACCTTAGGAAGGCCCAAAGTAAAAGCCAAATTGGAAGCAAAATCTAGACATACAGTAAATAAAATCTTGAACACACAATGTCCTGCATACTTGAAACAATAATTGCAAAGATTATCACACTTACATAACCTCCCCCACACCATTCCTCTATGTAAAATCTACCTCCAATTAAGACTTCCCAGAACTAATTTTTAAGTATTTCATAGTTTCAACCAAGGGCCAAAGATACTAAAAGGACAGCTAAGAGAGACCTCTGTCACTAATTTCTCTTTATTAAGAATCACAGAGAAAACACTTCGGACACAATAGCACAAAAAGCTATGTTTGTCCTAAGCAACTGTCTGCTTTAACTGCTCAAACACTACCTGATTAACTTAGGTTGTTTTTGAAGTTCATACATTCTTATTCCTATTTATTTACCTATGAACAAATTAAGAAAGACAGGTGTCTCCTACCTTTAACTTCTCATTCTGGGTAGTGACCTCCTCAAAGTCTTGCCGGAGTTTCTCCAACTCACAGTGACGGTTCTGAGCCAACTCTTTGTTCTCCTCAAGCTCTGCATTCATTTCCTCAAACTAGAAGGGAAGAAACAGCAAATGAGAAGAAAGAAAAAATCCTTAAATCATTCCAATTTCTAAGTTTCCCATATTCACTGGATACTCTTCTAGTAAACCCCACATTATCACTGGTGAATCAATACAAGCCTGACATCAGTCAAACATCTGTCCTGAGTGAGTCCCTAACTTTACCTTCCGGGCATTGATAGTGATTGTGCCACCATAGAGACTGCTCCCTGCTCCATACACCTTATATCCTTTAGAATTCACCTACAAAGAAGACAAAGATTCTTCAGTGAGAGACCTCAGGATTTAGTCTGATGATGTACTTTCAAAGGATCAGTTTTTAACCATAATACCACTTTGCAAGTGGACCTTCTCTGTAAAGATTTCTTAACATGATTTTAGTCTCCAGGCTATAACGAAACAGCACTGACCCGTTCTAGGACTTCCGCTAAGTGTCGGTTGAGTCGCTGTTCCCTCTTTCGAATTTTGTCAATATCCCACTGCAGATCATCAATCAGGGACTCCAGGACAGACACTCGTGACTCAGCTGTCTCCACTTTACTTTGCAGCTTGGAGAACTACATCCCATAACAAAATAAGACTCAGTTAAAAAAGGAATGCCTTATTTCACTTGCTCAAGTTACAAAGCCCACAAAATTAACCCTTGTTTGTGTGTTAGATTATTCAACATGAGTGTAAAATAAAAACAACAGATTCAGTTCAGCATTTTTTTTTTGGTAGGTTGTGGGGCTTAAACTCTGGGCCTGGATGCTGTTCCTCAGCTCTTCAGCTCCTGGCTAGCGTTCTACCATTTGAGCCACAGGGCCACTTCCAGTTTTCTGGGGTTTATTGGAGGTAAGAGTCTCATGGATTTTCCTGCCCAGGCTGGCTTTGATCCTCAGATCTCAGCCTCCTTAGAAGCTAGGATTACAAATGTGAGTCACCAGTGTCCAGTGATTTCAATACTTTTAAGTCAGTTATATTTACGAAAACTATAGAAGTATTAATTGTGCTCTGAACTCAGAGCCTTAAGCCCTCACTTGGCTTTTTTGCTCAAGGCTGGTACGCTACCAATTGAAGCACACCTCCACTTCCAGCTTTTTGCTTGTTAACTGGAGATAAGAATCTCACAGGCTTTTCTGCCAAGGCTAGCTAGTTTTGACACACAATCCTCAGATCTTAGCACCATGAATAGTCTGGATGAGCCACCAGGATCCAGTGATACTAAAAAAATTTTCTACTTCTGAAAAGTACCATTTCCGTAGATCGACCACCCATTTCATTGGAAAAATCACTATTTAAAAGAATAACCTTCAGAGCTGGGAAGTTGGCTCAGTGGTAGAGCGCTTGCCTTGCATGCCTGAGGCCCTGGGTTCGATTCCTCAGCAACACATAAGCAAAAAGAAAAAAAGCCAGAAGTGGTGCTGTGGCTCAAGTGGTAGAGCACTAGCCTTGAGATGAAGAGATGAGGGACAGCGCCCAGGCCCAGAGTTCAGGCCCCATGACCGGACCCAAAAAAAATAAATAAAAAATTTTTAAAAAAAGAATAACCTTCATGTCACAGAACATTTTAGAAAATAAAAAGATAATTATCTTTTCTCCCTACTTTCTTACCCAGAACAATGTAGAATTAGGTATTCTAAAGACACTTGGTTATCCTCTTTATTTAGAAACTATAAACCAGCCAGTGCTATTTAGTATTTTTAATTACAAAACTGTTCACGTCAACCTAAATAAATGTTTGGTTTGCAAACATGTCCTCTAAATCCTCTGACAGTCCTCCCATCAAGAGGCAGGAACTAGGGAAAAGAATTGTGGTACACTCCTGTGATCCAAGCTACGTGAGAGTAGGAAATGAAAGGAGTTAGGTCTGAGACCAGCCTAGCCAAGCATCCAGGGATATCCATCTTACCAGTCCATTGAAGCACTCAGAATCAATCTGAGTCAATGTCTGCCAGGGCCATTCGAATACCCATCCCTCTATTCTGGCCAAGTACCTCCTGAGACATGGTGCGGTGCTTCTCCTGGAGCAAGTCTGTCAGTTCCTGCAGCCTCATGTTCTCTTGCGCAAGGAAGGAGTTCAACTCTTGCACTGCTTCTTCCACTATCAGGTTATCTGAGGAAGAAGAACTGCATTTTAATTTAGTATCTATCATGCCAGCTCTTAAAACCATGCATCCCATCACTGACATCCTACCTCTCTTCATTTTCCTCAGAACATCAAGCTACTTCTATTACCCCCTGAGACAGACAAAATACCCAGAGACTAGGCACTAGGTATGGAACCTTTGCTATGGGCACTCTTGAAGCTCAAAAAACAAAACATACACCACCACTTACAAAAGAAGTAGGTAAGTCTACAATTTATTACATCAAGCTCATATGTTTAAAATTAAGTCACAATCTCTATAGTTCTAATATAAATGTCACTAAAAAAAAAAAAAAGGATAGGGAACAACATACATCACCTCTTTCATATCACAAACTGTCTCCATTTGTAGAAGGAATATAAAATATGTTGGTGGCGTGGTATATTTCCATGGTTTTCTGCCCACCAGATTTTATTGGCTTTTGTATATATGTATATGTGTGTGCTGATCCTTGGGCTTGGGCCTGGGTGTTGTCCTTGAACTCTATTGCTCAAGGCTAGCACTGTGCCACTTGAGCCAGAGTTAAACTTCCAATCTTTGGTGGTTAACTGGAGAAAAGAGTCTCAAGGGACTTTGGCCCAAGCTGACTTGAACTGCAATCCTCAGATCTCAGCCTCCTGAGGAGCTAGAATTACAGGTGGGAGCCACTAGTGCCCAGCTTACTTGTGGAACTTTTAAAATAGGCAATTCTGTGAAATCCACTTACATAATAATAATCTCCATGGGTAATGCCTAAAAGTTCTTCTCTTCTTAGTGTTGGAGATTGAATTCAAGACCTTGTATGTGCTACATTCTACTACTGATCCCCAATCTCCAAAAAGATGGGTTTTAAGTCTTTCCCCACTGCTTCCAGTCTTTGTCTCACCTCCACTGTTTAGCTTCCGGGACAAAAGCTCCACTTTTTCTTGTAACTTATCATACACATTCACAATCTGGGACACAGCTCGGCGGGAGGACTCCACACGCTCCTGCAGCTGAGACTCCATCTCTTCACTGGAACTGCTGGCCAAAGTAGCAAGGAAAGAGAAAGCTGGTTCTTGCCCTTCCCCTGAAGAAATACAGAGAAAACCTCAAAATTATACACCTAGAAATACCAAAACATACTTTTTTTTCCCTTTAAAGGGAGAGCTTCAAAGCAGAGCTTAATTCCTGAAAACCAGATTAACATGCAGTGTCAGAATCCCTCACAAACACTTACCTCTCTCTCGGTCATCTTTGCGTTCCTGATTGCTGTCAGAGTCAGGCTCTGGTTCTGGCACAACCAGAGCTTTCCTTTCTGTGAGTAGGTCTCCCAAGCCCTGTTCCAGATCGTAACGTTTAAGAATGATACGGATGTTTTCATCAAACTGGAGGATATACAATTGTTGGAAAAAAAAAAAAAAGACATGACTTTAGAAAGGAGAAGAATACTAAGAACTAAAATGCCCAGACAAACCTTAGTGAATAAACAAGTTGACCACCTGACTCCAGTACCGGTTAACAATCAACAGGGAGGCATCGTCGGTGGCCTGCCGTCGTTCCAGCTTTTCGATGTGTTCACGAAGTTCATCTTCAATGGCCTGCCGTTGGTCCAGCATTTCCGCTAGCTTGCGATTTTTGGTTTGCAATGTTCGAATGTCTAACTCCTCCTGCCCCCAGAAATCAGTATTATTAGTCTCCACAAGAAACTAGACAAATTAGCTGCAAAACTGAACAAGGCCACATTAATTCACAGTATCTCCTATCAACAAAGCAGTTTATTTAAAAGGAAATCATACAACCAATAATTACATCAAAGGATAGCTAAGGGTGTCACTCAAGTGATAGAGGGCTTGCTTGAACAAGCTTAAGACTTTGGATAAATACCACCAAAAAGAAAAACATGTTTTCAAAAATAAAGAAATGGGTACATAGTGATGTGAGGAAAGCATGACACATGAACATACTCAAGCTTCCCTAATCACATGAATACATATGTGTAGACAAACCATCCAATCCTCTAGTATCTATCTATGCTTCTGGTATTTCAACACTAAATGACTATCCACTGCTTCAGCCATGAATTCATAAGTCACACTGTAGACCTTACCTGGAATTCAGCTCTCCATTAAGTTCCAATTTCACAGTCTAATAAATAAAATCTTTCCAGGTATTTCATTTCCTTACATCATTGTGGCAGTCCTTTCACATCATTTAGAGCTCTAGAATTTTGAATTCTCTCATTTTCCCTCTTTATTTCACTATCTTCCATAGTCTCATCATGTACTATATAGTACATTTCTTCAAACATGTTAGTCTCTTCAATTCTCTGCCCTTCATCTTTTTGTCCTGAACAAACTTCAACTGAATTCATCTATACATTTGGCTGTTCCCTTCCTGTACCAGTATGCTAAGATTTCTTCTTTTTTTTGGGGGGGTGGGGGTGAGGAGGGTGGTCCGGTAGTGGGGCCTGAACTCTGGGCCTGGACACTGTCCCTCAGCTCTTCAGCTCAAGGCTAGAGCTCTACCCCTTGAACCACAGTGCCACTTCCAGCTTTTTTTTTTTTTTTTTTTGCTTATGTGATGTTGAGGAACAGAACCCAGGGCTTCAGCATGCAAGGCAAACGCTCTACCACTGAGCCACCTCCCAGACCCTATGCTAAGATTTCTATATCAAAAAGGTCATTAAGCTGGCCATCAGGGGTGATCTGAAGATCACAGTTCAAAGCCAGCCCAGGTAGGAAAGTCTATGTTATCTCCCACTAATCATCAAAAAGCCAGAACTAGAACTGTGGCTCACATGGTAAAGCACTAGCCTTAGGCTGAAAAAGCTCAGGGACAGCACCCAGACCCTGAGTTTAAATTCTTAAATTGAACAGATCTTATAATTTATCCAGAAATATTTAACAAATGAGCTCTCATTCTCTATCAAAGCAATTTCAAACTTTACCAAGCCTTGCCTTCTCTTACCTCACACTAAACAAATGGCCCTGCTTCCTACTTTAACAAACACAAATGATCAGATGGGAGTCTTTACAATTCCTCACCTCTCTCACCTTCTATACATGACACATGAACACTTTTTTTTTTTTTTTTTGGTTCCGGTTGTGGGGCCTGAACTCTGGGCCTGGGCACTGTCCCTCAGCTCTTCAGCTCAAGGCTAGCGCTCTACCACTTGAGCCACAGCGCCACTTCCGGCTTTTTATTTTTTCCTTATGTGGTGCTGAGGAATCGAACCCAGGGCCTCAGGCATGCAAGGCAAGCGCTCTACCACTGAGCCACCTTCCCAGCCCACATGAACGCATTCTTAAAACCTCAACTTCTGCTCAGAATCCTTTGTTTCTGAAAAACATCATTCCTCAGAAAGTCAGTAGCCTTAACTCCTGACTATATCCTTTCCTAGGACAAGCTGGAGAGGACCTGGGGGATGAAATATTACAGGCAAGCAGACAACATGTGAAAAAGGCTTACATTCTCACTTTATCTCAGAATGAGTGAATAAATATTTTAAACAACTGTTTAATAGAGCACCAAGTTCTTATCGTACTTTTATTTTCTTTATTACAATTGGTCGTTACCCCATTAATAAGCTAATGCATTTTAATAAAATAATAAGTAATATACATCGTCTCTTCTCTGGACATTGCCTGCCTCTCCTGCTCTACCTGGAACCTACATGGTAACACTTCCCCTGCAGGCTCCTCCAGTGGCAGCTGTTTCTCTCACACTGCCTTCAAAGCCCTCGTGGGTAGACAGTTTCTTTTGCCACTTCAAAGCCATTATCTCACCTGCTCCCTAAAAAACTCCTAGCCTTGCACAGGATATCACTAGTCTTAAACCATCTGTCATCCTTTTTGCTGACTTATTTATGTCAGAAAAAAAGTCCAGTTTATTTCACCACATTGCTCCAAGATTTAGACTTAACTTACCATCACTTGCTAAGATACCTCTTTTAAAATTCATGATTACAATATCCACTTGAATGATTGTTCTCCATCTTAAATCAAATCACTGACCTCTCCATCAATGATTATTCTCCTATTTCTGTCATTAGCTAATAGTTATTCTCAGTGATTACTTTGCTCTTCCAACAAGCCCTCTAAAAGCTCATTCTCCACAATGACCACTATTTTTCCAGCTTACTCTCTGCAGTTTCCTCCCTCCAACAATTCTTCAGCCTCTCCAAAATCTACAACTTATTGGTCCCATACCTTTCCCTGTCTTTCATTCTGCTCACATCCTCAGGACACTTTTATCAAGCTTAAATTCTGTGAACAACCATTATAATCAAACCTTCTTATAAAAACTTCTTCCTTGCTTCTTCTTCATACTTCTCCAATCCTGTAACATCCAACCCTCTACATACTTCAAACCTACATCCATGCAACTGAATGTGACTAGAAAATACAAACACCATACTAACTAGTTTCCCTTTACACTCATGCTCACAAATTCAAGTGGGCCTTCAGTGCAGGCCATCAACCCTACTACGTATCTTTAGTCTAGCCTCTCTTCAAGATAACTACTTCATACCTACTCCTGCCTCTTCAAACCTCCAAAACTTCCTCCCCATCCTCATTCTCAGATGAGTCTTTTTATTTCACTGGAAAAAAAAATAGAAGCAATCAGAAGAAAACACTCATACCTACCTCCCACAGCCACAGCTCACAGCCACAGCTCCAAACCTACCTACACCAGAACCTACTCCCTCTACCTTCCTTCCTGTTCTACTCCTGGTTAAGACCAACTCCACAGCCAGGCACCAGTGGCTCCCACCTGTAATCCTAGCTACTCAGGAGGCTGAGATCTGAGGATCACATTTCACAGCCAGCCCGGGCAGTAAAGTCCGTAAGACTCTTATCTACAATAAACCACTAGGAAACCAGAAGTGGTGCTGTGGCTCAAGCCACAGAGTGCTGGCCTTGAACTGAAGAGTGCAGGAACAGTGCCCAGGCCCAGAGTCCAAGCCCATGACCAAAAAAAAAAAAAGACCAACTCCACCACTGTACAGCCTTATGGCTTACCTTATTAGTTCCTCTCATCTACTCAAGGACATCATTGTCTCCTCTTTCTACTGTATCACTGTATTTTCTCTATCAAATCATTTCAATCAACAGATAAAAATAATGAAATATCTCAAAAAAATCTCTCTGGCTACTGCCTCATCTTCTTTGTTGTACTTAGCAGCAATAATCCTCTAACATGTTGTCTCTACCCTCTGTTCCTTAATTCCTCTCCTGTCACAGTCTCTTAAACTCACTGCAATCAGGCTTGTACTACTACATCAACACAGATCTGGTTGTTCTCCAAGAGACTAAATGTAGCATCAGTCTCCCCTTAACTCACCTGCACCACCTGATCAAAACACAAAATTTCAAAGTTAAAATACTTCTTCATTCAGCTTCTGGAAGCCCTCTTTCTTATTCTCCTACCTCATGGGTCTCTGCCCATCCCTTCCTCTTAAGTTTTTCCTTTAATTAGTCCCTTCTCATCTCCACATCCCAGAACTCTGCCCTCAGAACTTTATCTATGTTTATTATTTAAGGGAGAGTCTTAGTCTCACCGATTTAAATATCACCTACACAATGCTGCTCTCAAATGTACAGCTTTAGACCAGACAACTCTCCAGAATCCAGGTTATTAGATACAACTACCATGCTAATTGGAATCTTGAAGTTTAAAAAACTAACTCAAGATTCAATCTCCACAGTGCACTTAAAAATCTACTCTTAATTTCTAGTTCAGTAAAAGAAAATGTCATTATTTCCAAAATCCTTTGGTGATCCTCCCTTCTCATATGTTCTATCTAATCCATGAGCAAATCCTGTCATAGCTACCTCCACATTTTTTTCAGGCTACTCTGACTACTGTGAAGGCCTCTGAACCAAATATTTTAGTGACAAGCCTGCCTGCCAAATTTCAGCACAGCTGTGGTGAATAGCGCCAGTCTGTGTTCTCCTTCATACTTTGGAATCTCACTTAACCTGTTTCCAAAAATCAGCTGACTTATTATAGCAACTTCAAAATGCACAGTTGGAGTTACTGCCTTCAAGAGAACCTACAGCTGGCTGGAACTACTGGAAACGTTTGGAAAGATGACGCTGTGGAGGAGAGAAAGATAACAGAACAATTTTGCTAACTGGACTCAGTATAACCATTGCTTTTCTACAGTCTACTCTCAAAACATAGGTCAGAGCATGTTCCTCACCCACAAGACTTGTTGGATAAAGTCCAGGCTAGGATTGGTGTTGATCTTCCCTCACAGCACGTGTTTATCTTTCTCCACCAATAGCACAGTCTACTTCCTTGTCAGTGCCACCCTACTGACTGATGTCTATGAGGCGTCTTCAGCATAAAGCACAGTACCCAGCAAGCAAAATGCTCAAAAAGTACTACTCAACTGCTTTTGCGGTGAGCAACATGAGGCTAAAATGAAAGCAACTCCTGGTGACACCATGGAGTTCCACAAGCCCAGACAGTTCAGCAAGGGGAGGGCCGCAACAGCGTGCTAGGAATGTCCTAAGAATGTCAGTCTCTCTGAACCTCAGCCTCAACATAAGTAATATAAATGGAAAACAGTTAACATCACATTCCCATGGCCAAGGTGCAAAATATGGAATCCTCATCTAGATAAAAACCTATAAGCTTCTGATGTTTCAAAGATATACATCACTTGTACGTTTGGTATATACACTCTAATGGAACTGTTACTTCCATAAGAGTAAAGATGATGTCAGCTTTATTTACTTCTATGTTATCTAGCCACTATTTATTAATAGCTAACTTTTATGAGTACAAGATGCCAAAGTCAGTCTTTTAACCCTTAACAAGAACTACCATTTTTATCTTCACACTAACCCAGTGTGACACTATATACAATGTACTATAAATTCATTTCACAGACAAGGAAATACACAGAAAGGATAAGACAGTGACATAAAGCTAGGGAGAGAGGAAGCAGACATTAAACGTCAAGCAGTTTGGTCTCAGATTGATATTCTTCACAACACTTTCAAGCACCTCTGAAATATGTCTCTTAAAACCTGGCACCAATTTTTTCAGTGAATAAAAAATGAATACAGAAGACCCTGTTATCCATGAGTATATGGTTGCTAAGCAATGAGCACTGAGGAAAAATCAAGAACTCTCAGGATGCACAGAGTTAAGAACAGTACTGTGGATACTTTATTCCACAGCATCAACCAAAGCCCACCAAAGACATGCCACTTTTCAGCAAATCTAATGCTTTATCACTTAAATTAAGCACACTAAGTTTTTCCTTTGGGGGCCCCATTGGCTTTGAGGGAGGCATATTTTCACAAAAACAAGGACAAGGAAACAGTTAACCACAAGAGTTAAACACAACTGACATTAACATGGAACTGACTGAGAGCTTCTCCCCAATCAACAGAGACACATAATGCCCATGTGGGAACTAGATTTTTTTTTTAATTTTTGAAATTTCTTGTGATTATTTATTGACCACCCTAGGCCAAAACTGCATACACCCAACCTGCAAATGAGTCAGACTTGCTATAGTTGTATTTCCACTGCTAAGTAATAGCCAATGCGGTGTCAAGCACCAGACTTTCAAAATCACATAAACACAACATGAAAACAAAGATCAAACATCAATCTACCTCTCTTTCACAAGTGACTAGGACACCTATGAACTACTTCACCTATCTCCCACTTCTTTTCAAATGGCTTTCCCTTATTCTAGAAGGCTTCAATAAGTTTACTTTCAGGTTATAAATGACAGCAGAAAAGTACACTTTCATAGCTCTGTTTTCCTCATACCGTTGAAGACACACCCCCTAGTTTAATGGTTTCCACTGTGGTCCCTGAATCTTCAACAGCTGTCTTCTTCTCTGGAGGCACTGATGTGCCTGGCTCTCCAGCTGCTCGTTTATTTCCAATCCCTGACATCTTGATGACAGTGGTTTTCCTGGAGGCAAAAAAACAAAATAAAAATAAAATCCATCACTAAGGCATGCAAAGAGAGCAACAATAGATACAAAAGCTAGCAATTTTTCTGGCCAGCCCTTTCATCTAGATCCATTCATTCCAAACCAAGCAACACCATCCCCAAATTCCTCTTAAGAAAGAAAAAAAAAATCTAAATTGTGGATTCATATCAAAACTGAATTGTCACAACCTAAACTGTGGGTTAAGATCAAAACCGAATTGTCACCCACTATAGATTTCTAAGTAAGGTGAGACACTGGTGAGATCATAGACGATGAATAAATTTCAAGAACCTCACTTCCTGAAATGCCAAAAAAAAAAAATCAGAAAAGTACAGCTTGATTACGAGAGAAGTCCATTCTAAAGTGTGTGGAGGACTCGAGAGCTGGAAGAGATCTGAGAAACGCCTAAGTCGTGAGCACTGAACAAGTCGGTTATCATCTCGGCGCCAATCAACGGATGGCATAATTACAAAAGGAACTTGGGGGGGGGGGAGCCAAACATAAACTCGGCACTCACAAGCACCAGCTTCTCGCCACTTTACAAATCCTCTCCCCATCACATGGCTTTCTGCAGCCCGAGGGGGCCGTTAGCCTCAGGGGGTGCGGGTTCCCAGAGGGAGTCGTGTGGCCTTCAGAGAGGGGGTTCGCCCGGGGGCCTTCTCAGCGTTTCCTCACCTGCACGGCACGGGAGCTCAAGGAGGCGGAACGGAAGGATGCTAGAGCACTTCTGCTACAGGAGGAAGCTGCCCGGCCATCACCGAGAGACCACGGGCCACTCTGCGTCCACTGGCCGGCTCCGGGGGGTGGCAGTCGGGGACCGCGGTCTGGGTCGGATCCCGCTGGGAAAAGAGACACACACGCCCCGGGCTGACGGGAGCCGAAGACCCCGGCCGCGGCGTCTCCGGGGCCCGGATGGAGGCCCCGGGTCCGCAGAGGGTGGAGGCTGCCCGGGATACACCACAGCCTGCTCCTCACGTCAGTTGTTCTCGTGAGCCGGGGTCTAACCCGCGTTCTTCCCACCCGCGCCGCGGGGAGCCCAACTCTAAGCCGGTCTTTCACCTAAGGCCCGCCCGCGCAGGCCAGGCCTGCCATCCCTCACCTCTGACCCGCCGCAAAGAGGGACCTAGCTTCCGGGAGGCGGGGCGAAGGACAGGAAGAAGGGAAAAGAGGAAGGAAGTCGCTTCAACCCTACCGGGTGAACTGAGATCCAGCCGGGAGGAAGTGACGTAAGGTGAGGGCGCCGAGCGAGCTAAGGATGTGCCCAGTCTCCGGCCACACTGGGGCGGGAGAGGGGCGGCGGGTGGTGAGTGAACATCTCTTTGCTAAGACCACCGAGAGTAACCGGGTCTCGCTGCGGCCGGACTGCGAGCCCTTGCCTTGATAAGTTAAAAAGAAAACACAGCCGCCTGACTTGGATTAGTGCGAGTATTGACATCAAGCGTTCCGTTGGGCTACCTGCTCTGGGCTTCCGATTGGCGGGAGGGCCTGTCCATCTCGGGGCCCCAAGCCTGTCGCGGAGACTGACACCTGGAGGAAATGCCCGCCCCCTTCTTGCTGGAGTCTGGAGAAAACCCATGAAATCCATGGGTTTAGGTGTTGGGGGCTGCTTTTTAAGGGAACTGTGTTTAGTGCTGCCTCCACGTTACACCCATCTGGGGAGTGATAAGTCCCTCTAGGGCGGGGCCTGGACAAAAAGGCTTTCGAAACAGGCCTAATCCCAGCACAGAAATAGGGGCACAAAGGGTGAACTAACAGAGCAGTGATACTGGACACTACTTTGGAAATGAACTATCCAACTTGGGAGGAGGAGGGGGCGTCGGGAGGAGGAAAAAATGGGAGAAAATGAGGGAGGGGGTGACACTGTTCAAATAAATGTACTCATTAACTGACTTAGGTAGCTGTCACCCCTCCGTACATCACCTTTACAATTTAAAAACAAGTGAAAAAATAGAAAAGCCTTTATCCCATCTTATTTTCACCCTTCAGATTACAGCCTGCAAACAAGATTGACAGCTACATCTCCGCTGCTTTAGAAGTAGACAAGAAATTGACCAAGAAAAGATAAGTCATGCAAGTCAATGAGTAGTGAGTCTCTACACAATATTATCTCTATATTAAGCTAATTAAGCATGAACTTTCAAAACAAGTTAGTCATTTCCAAGTCAGTTAAACTAAATGTCTGGATTTTAATGATAGGAAGGTTATTGAACTAACTTGTGAGTAAAAGAATGTATGCTGCCCCAAATGATAGACAACTAACTAATGTCATCAGATAAGAGCCCAGAAATAAAGGAATGATGGGCTGTGCCTAAGGAAAGAAAAAGAAGGTATATTTGATAGGTACCTGCTAGTTCTTAGCTGTGTGTGCAAAAGATGAACAACAGAAGACAAAAGTTGTGTGGTAATGCATGGAACCAGAACACTTTACCTAGTCCAGGTAAAAAATTAATTGGCTCTTAAATGAAACCCAAATTCCTTCCATTTGGTGAAGCAGAAGACTGAGAACTATTTGATGTCCACTTGTTGAAAAATCTATCGTTAGTATAGGACAATAACATTCATTTTCTGATCTCCATCCTTGAGTTGCTTTACCCTTGGCAAGCCCTGTACCCACTGGATGGCAAGCGGAGTCATTCTTCCAGCCTCATGTTTGTAAACTAGATGTTCACAGGTTGTATTTTGCCAACAGACCTTCTGTGTTTAACTTTGGACAGTACTGGACACTCCATATGGTTAAAAACAGTAACTTGATCACTAGCATTTCAAATTAGGATATTGTAAATTAAAAATCCAAGCTAATTAACTTTTCTCAAAAATGTTGACAATCTAGCATGATTGAAGCTATGTGCTTGCATGGTCATATTACTTAGACAAGAGTAGCCACTTCCTTTTTCATCCATTGATCATCTTATTTCCAGGTACCATGATCTCCACTATTCCTTACCTGTCCAGTGGGCACTTTGGTTACATACCACCCATACTTCCTTTCTTACCTTTTTTCTTTAGAATAGATTAAAATTTTTACTAATGTGTCCATGAAGCCCCTCTGGTTATGTATTAGGAAGCTCCAAGGATTGTCTCAATATAAATAGGTTTATCCCCCAAATCAAAGTTCTAATTATAGTGTTGTTCACTTTGATTGGAGTAAATCTCTTGGGATATTAGGTCAGGGCAGTTTTCTTCCAGAGTTTTTGCCTGAAACTGTGGCACATGTTTGCTACCATTGTTAAAAATGGAGCCAACACACAGGTCAGGTGGCAGGAGAGGGGACAGGCTGGGCCTGCTCTGGGTTACTCCAGGATGGGTAGAACAGAAGCTCTGTTCTGTTTTTAGATTAAAAACAAAAACATTGATTTGGTTGTACCTAGCTTTGACTCATTCCTTTTATAAAGCAGTATTTTTAAACCTAAGCTACTCCATCTTGAGAATAAATATTGAAACATAATGGTTTTACATTTTATTTGTACAAGTGAACAACTGCCATCTTTCAGTACACCATGAGGCCCAAACTGATACATAATGTTCCATAATGTTCCAATAAACAATGATGCTGACAAATATATCAAAATATATCAGAAACATCAGGCATGAACTTACCAGATACACTAGGCCAGTCACTTAGTCAAATGCCTCACCTGAACTATAGAAAAGGAGAGATACCTGGCACTGGGACACAGCAGCACACACAGATCTGATCTGTCATCAGACCTCCAGTGTATCTAAGTCAAGTACCAACAAGTGACAAACTTGTCACTACCCTGCCCCTTTGTGAATTAATTCTGACACTGAGGAACATAATAACTTTCATTTATGTTTCTGACATAGCTCTCTCATAACAGAGGGCAAGACCAAGAGGGTTCAGGGAAATGGAGCCAGATCAACTGAGTTAGGTCACCCCTAATTTCAATCCACAATTCAGGGTGCTATTGAAGATACTAAACAAGACCAAGACTTTCTAGAAACCGTTAATTCTCACCATGTAGTAACTGTAATTTCCATCTACCAGTGCGGTTATCTTTTTCAAAAGTCCCAAGCAGTCATCTCAGGCCTTCTTCTGTGTGTCAGTGTTCTCTAGAGAACAAAACCAATACGGTATGTGTGTTGATGTGTATGTGTGTGTATACATATCTGTGTTTATGTGTGGGTGTATTTATTTCTATATGCATGGAATTGATTGTGGTGATTTGATAAATTTACAATTTTCAGATAGGGTAGCACACCCAGGGATGAGTTGCAGTTGTCACTCAAAGGAGGTCTGCTGGAGAAATCCCTTCTTGCTCAGGGAGAAAGGGGTGTCAGACATTGTTCTATTAATAACTTCAATGGATTGGATGAGTCCTTGCCACAATGTGCTTTACATCACCAATTTAAATGTTAATTTCACTCCAAAGCATACTTCACAGAAACATGCTCCAGCCATTGACACATAAAATTAACTGTAAGGGTAGATAATTACTTTCGCCAGTGAATTGTGATATCTTTTCTGAAAGCCTCAGCCATCTGACCTCACAGTAACTTGTCCTGATCCAAAGGTAGCTTTACCTTACAGAACTGGGCAAGTGGAATAGATGAAAGGAAAGGTAGCAGAGAATCCTCCCACTGACCACATTCCTCATTTCTGAGCACCTTCCACCTACTTATCACCTCAATAAAGAGAAAAAGAACCTTAGGATAAATCTTCCACTCACACAAATGGAAGAACAGCATGCACAAGAGTTCATATTTGATTTCCTTTTTCTTTTAAAGCTATCATTGCTTATTCCAACCTTATCATTTAAGCCAAATAGCAATGACCTCCTCTTTGAGGAGAAAGTAGGTTGCAATTTCAAGTAATTTTTCTGAGGTACTTAATATTTGTTTAAGGACTCCAGTGTTTGACTTCCAGACTGTCTTTATTACACAGTTCTGCCACAAGGTGTCAGCAGGTGACACACCTCCTTCCACAGTGCCTCCTTTATTCATGGGCCATGCCGTGTGACTTTGTAACCTGAACTAGTAGGAGTGCATTTAATGCTGTCACAAAGAACACAGTAAGATTTGGGAAATCTTACTCACCTTTTTTTTTTTTTCTGTTTCCTGCAAACATTCTCCTGTTGATTATCTCCATGGGCTCCAACATTCCCTGAGAATTAATTGTATACTAAACATAATTCTGGAAGCTCTATTTTTAGACAAGTTCTGTTGTTCCTATCATAACATCACTTGTTAAACGGAAACACACAGATTCCATTCATCCTTGCTTTAGGCACCAAATCTCCAGAGTAAATCTCTCAGGAAATACAATTTTTTCCTGTTACATTATGCTTCCTATCTGCATAGATTTAAGGAACACTGCTCCAGGTGATGGTGTCCAGCTCCACTTAGGAGTACTCTACAAGCTGGGTGCTGGTGGCTCATGCCTGTAATCCTAGCTACTCCGGAGGCTAAGATCTGAGCATTCTAGTTCAAAGCCAGCCCGGGCACAAAAGTCTGTGAGACTCTTATCTCCAATAAGCCACTCAGAAAACTGGAAATGGTGCTGTGGCTCAAGTGATAGACATCTAGCCTTGAGCTGAAGAGCTGAGGGATAGTGCCCAGGCCCAGAATTCAAGCCCATGACTGACAAAAAAGAAAAAGAAAAAAAAAAAAGATTGCTCTACAGAAACCGGCCTCCTACTCTGGTTCTGTGCTTTCCATACCTTAGAGCCACTCACCACACCTTTCTCCATCTCCCCAGATAACCTGGCCCACCATGCTACCCTATGTTCCACCCTCCTTTTCTAGGACAGCAGCTTTTAGACTATTTCTAGCCTTGACTTCATTTTATAAAGCAATAGTTTTAACCTATGCCATCAATTCCACAAGAATGCCTTTACATTTTATGTATGCAAGTAAATAACTACCATGGGTCAGCAAACCATGAGGCAAAAATTGGTAACACTTTATTTGTGCCAATAGGCAATTATATCAAAACAAATCAATTTATATATAAAATCACATCAGAAACACCAGGCATGAACTTCATGATTAATGTAAACTCCCTCCCCTGAATTATATAACAGGAGGGACTCCCAGCCCTGAGGTATAGTGGCACATACAGACCCTCTGTTGCATTATGCAT